ATTGAAATCAATTGAAAGTAATTAAATTGAAATCAATTGAAAGTAAATTGAAATCAATTGAAAGTAAATTCAAATCAATTGAAAGTAAATTGAAATCTATTGAAAGTAAATTGAAATCGATTCACCATAAATTGAAATCAATTGAAAGAACATTGAAATCAATTGAAAGTAATTTGAAATCAATTCAAAATACATTCAAACCAATTGAAAGTAAATTGAAATCAATTCAAAATAAATTCAAATCAATTCAAAATAAATTGAAATCAATTGAAAGTAAATTGAAATCAATTCAAAATAAATTGAAATCAATTGAAAGTAAATTGAAACCAATTGAAAGTAAATTGAAATCAATTCAAAATAAATTCAAATCAATTGAAAGTAAATTGAAATCAATTCAAAATAAATTCAAATCAATTGAAAGTAAATTGAAATCAATTCAATTCAAAATAAATTCAAATCAATTGAAAGTAAATTGAAATCAATTCAAAATAAATTGAAATCAATTGAAAGTAATTTGAAATCAATTCAAAATAAATTCAAATCAATTGAAAGTAAATTGAAATCAATTCAAAATAAATTCAAATCAATTGAAAGTAAATTGAAATCAATTTAATTTTTTTTTTGGATTTTACACTATTCTGTACCCGGTACCTTGGTTTTTCCACACTATTCTGTAACCAAAATTTGTTGGGGGGGGAGGGGGGGGGGGCCTCCCCACACTAATCAGTAACCTACATTAGATTAGATAGACTATAGAATAGATTAGATAGAATAGATTAGGTTAGATTAGATTAGATGAGATAGATTAGATTAGATTAGATTAGATAGATTAGATAGTCATACTAGATTAGATTGGATTGGGTTAGATCTAGATTAGATAAGATCGGTCCTGGGGAAGTTAAGTCTTCAGAGTCGGTTTCGGGTTTCGGGTTTCGGGTTTCGATCGGTCCTGGGGAAGTTCTAAGTCTTCAGAGTCGGTTTCGGGTTTCGGGTTTCGGGTTTCGCAGTTCGAAACCAACTTTATAACAGTCGGCTTCGGGTTTCGGGTTTCGGGTTTCGCTGGTGGAAACCAACTCTGCAGACCTCTCTCCGGATCACGTCTCGTTGGGTTTAGATAATTCGAGGTAGTTGGATGGTGCAAGTAAAGCAAAAAAAACATGTCACTTTTTCGGGCACCACCGGCCATAGGGTGTATTCAGATGTGTTTTAAGCCATTTGCCTACGATGAAAATGGAATGAGTCCCCGTCGCAAGTTCCACGCAGGACGAGTGAAGAGGGCGTAATTGTGATTTGGCAATTGCTGTTTGGAGCCAGACCTCCTGGCTCGATTCTCGTGAGGCACGAATCGACGAATCGAAGTCACGTGACGCAGTGTTTGTCTCAGGTGAGTGCTGAACTTATGCTGAAATAAGAACATATGAATGGAAATCTCAAACCGCTCAAGCGCGGAGCTAAAAATGAATAGAACATGCCGCAGGCTTAAACCCCAGTTGTGGAGTTGAAGTTGGACCCAGTATGTTTGGTCCCTTGTTAGCATCGCCATCAGCATACTTCACTGAGAGCCCAGCCCTGGAAGCCACATGACCAACCACCAACCATTCCCAAAGTTCTTGATTGAAAAAACACGTCAGAAAATGTCAGAAAATGTGGAAGGATGCATCCTTCCACATTTTCGCCATAATTTGCGGATGCTGAACATGAGAATCTTGGTCATTGACATCCGATTGTTTCCACATGTTTTTCGCACAGGAACCACATCAAGAGGGTTGCTCCTACCGGCCATCTCCAACCTATAGGTAAATGAGTACCGCAAGGGTGGGCAATGGGTGATTGTACCATATGTTCCCTCTATACTGAGCCAACAATGGGTATTGTGTTTTCCCTTTCCCTGTTTGGTGTTTCCCCTTCCCTACAGTTTTCCTTTCCTGTTTGGTGTTTTCTGTTTCTGGCTTGGTGTTTCTCCTTCGCCAAAAGCAAGATACCCCCTGGTATTTGGGGTGCGGAGCAACCCTGTCCAAGTTGGTTGAATCTCGAGTTTCCCAGCAGTTTCCATGGTTTTCCTGGCTGGTCTAGTTGGATCTATAGTTACTATAGTTGGCTGTTGGCCAACAAAATCTGGTCAAGATGAATGGCTCCGAAGCCATTACTGATGTTGGATGATTCCCGATGTTATTTTAGTGTTTGCCTGTTGCAAATTATGATGAATTGTGTATGTTTGTTTTTGTTTATTTTTGTTTAACCTCCGGTAATCAAACATGGCAATGGACAATCCCAAAACCATATCACTTGACGGTTTCATACATGTTTTAATGGAACAAATCATCTGTGAATTGATTATGGCTGACTTTTGATAACGCTTTGGCCTTCTGGTACTAGATATATCTATAGATATCCATGGGCCATCTATTTGGCCATGACCCGACGACTGAACGCCAGGATCGACCATGGACCAATTCCAAACAGCCCAGTCGTTGGTTGCATAGCTCTGTCACCGTCGAAGCGAATCTGCTCTCCGTCTTCCAGTGATGGTGGTGCCGAAGGGTTGAGAGGGCTGGAGAATGGCTCGAGAATGCCTAGTTTTATCGATTTTATTGATTTTAGGTTGTAAATTTGTTTCAGGAATTGTAAGTGGGGCAATCAATTCAGAAGTTTAGATGAGAAATTGTTCGCGTCACAGACGAACGTCAATGGGTAGCTTGGTTTTCAGCTCACCAAGCCTACCACACAGCATGCATCAGTCGGTAATTTCAAGGTAGGAGTAGCACAGTGGCGATCGATCCGTGCTATGCGGGATTGCAACCCGCGTTTGCAAAACTGGAAGTGCTGCGCCATGGTGTGATGGGTTGGACCCAAGGTACTTCAGAGCCCAGAGAAGTCAGAGAAGAGTTATAGCTACTGTTAGAAGAGCTGCGTGAGAGAAGGGCTAGCGAAGAGAAGGGGTTTTTGCGCAGACGTATTACTTGAGAGAAGTAGCGATACTGCAAGAAATCTTTCAGGAAAGATGTAGCCTAGCTATGCCTAGCTCAGAGAGATGGCTCGGAGGCGCAGTTGGCCCAGCGAAAACTTAGGGAGAGAGGCGGGTCAGGAAAGAGCAGAGATGGCTGAGAGAAGTAATGAGCTCGGAGAAGAGAAGGCTCACTCAGTCTGTCATTGAGTCGTTCGCGGTTCATTCATGCATTCATTCAGTGGCTTGTTCCGCCATTCCATTGTTTGTTGATGAATGCATGCTTTCAGCCAGTCAGTCTTACAGTCGACAAGTCAGTTAGCTACTCAATGACTCAGTCGGAAAAAGGCCTTCCATGTCTTAAAAGCTGCTGTTTTTTTGAACTTCCGGCCCGGGACGGCCGCAAAGTACCTCGTTTTAACATGTTTTAAAGCCTGTCGCTCAAAAGGGTAGATGGCCCAAAAAGGATGATATCATGGCACGTTTGGGGCTCCATCCCCCAGACAAAACGCTGTAAGGCCAAATGTGCCAGAGTCAAACGTGGGATTACATAGCCACGGGGCCCTTCATCAATATTTGTTCAATGCAATTAGTACCTGGTTGGTGGTGTGGAACATTTTTTCCATAATATATGGGATAATCCTTCCCATTGACTAATATTTTTCAAGATAGTTAAAACCACCAACCAGGTACCCCGATTCATGATGTTGGGATGACCGTGATCCACCAATCCCGTCCAACCTGCCGGTGCAAATGAGCCATTCATCTCTTCAGCGCACCATTCCAAAGTCGACCCAAAAACAGAGGCTGTTGCGGCCATTGGGCACTCACTGGACGTCACTGAGACAAAACTCTCCAAGGTTTGGGCAAATTAGAAGTCACAACATGTGATAACTTCATGGCCGAGGCAAGTTATGTCACCATGTTATGGACAACTGGGAGATCAGGAAACCACTTTGATGGGAAGTTTTGTACATGTTTCTTTTTACCATAAAGGACACAAGACATGAATTAGTCAATATATCCCAATCTAATGATATAAATTAACTTACTAATGAAATAAATTAACTTACAGTAGATATAAATAAATCAATAGATAAATGGGATATTCAATAATATCAAATCATTAGTTATGTACATTTAAGAACATAATCATACATACATACTGGTATATCCCATCCTATTTTGCATGCTATCTGAGATTGGCCATGATTGGCCACGGTATTAAGGTGTCTTATTTTGATGGTCATGTGATGATCACCCACAGTGACTCATCTAGGCATTTCACAACTTGGCGAACAAAAATCAGGTGCCGGCATGTGCCGACCCCCCTTTTTTTCAAGCTGGGGACCCACTAGAAAAAAATCTTAGTTTATATCTTGGGGTACTCTCTGGTAAACTAACATAGCTATGGAACATCACCATTTTTCCCCAACCAGTGTGGCCACACTGAGGGGTTCTTACGGTAAGAGTTAAGGCCCGGTGTTCAATCGAGGTGGTATCATCCGTGTCCGGCCAATTCCCAATAAATTTCCACACAAAATGGCTATTGTGAAATGTCCATGTGCATTGCGACTGCGCAGGCTCACACAAAAACGCTGGCCCCGAGATCCGCGTCCGGCCTTTTCCTGTAAATTTCTAGACAAATGGCTCTTGTGAAATGTCCATGTGCATTTGCCGACAGAGCTCTTATAGAGATCTTGTACGGGGATCTTGCCAGGAGACCTCTTATTATATGGACATCTTGTACAGAGACCTGGTGAAGAGAGCAGATTGCCCAGAGGCCTCTTACAGAGATCTTGCCAGGAGATCTCTTATGGAGATTTTGTACAGAGACCTGGTGCAGCGAGCAGAGGTCTTGCTCAGAGATCCTGTGATGGAGATCTTGTTTCGCCAGAGGCCTTTTACAGGTGCAGACATGCGGCCGACAGGAGTCATATTGCAGATCTTCCTAAGCAGGTGCCTCTCCGAAAGCTTTTCACGATGGCGTGCTCACTTTCCGAGATTGTGGAAAGGATTTGAAATCTTCTCTGCGAGAGATTTCTCTGTAACGCTTCTACCACGGAGCCTTCGATGCTTCTTGAATGAGATCCTCTTGGGCTGTTGTTGCTCCTTCTCGCTTGTAGGCGTGCGCATCCTCGCAGCGGGTGACGGTGTCCGCAGCATCGCGACATGCCACAGTTTTGGCCTCTGCCACGCGACTCGGGCTGCGGAACAGCTGCCGTGGCATCGCGCGCGCGCTGCCCCTACTGGTGCGCCTTCGCACCAGACACCTTGCGCGCAACACAGCTGCGATCCTTGTGGATAAAAAGTCTGCAGCTGCACGGCTCCAGTTCTGTGCCACACCATGAATCTCCAATCAATGGATGTCTATGCTTCTGTTTCTAATCTGCATAATTTTCCTTTGATCCCTCAAGGCACTCTGTTTGGGGTCTCTTGCCGGGATAATTAATGGGTAAATCAACTATTCCCATGGCCATTTTCAATAGCAAACTGTCAGTTTACCAGAGGGTAACTTATTCATAGATGAATTGCCAAACGAATGAGCGTTTTTAGAAAATTATTTGGCCAGAAACCTCAGGTGATTTTGGCTTCCATCTTCGATTGAAAGAAAATTTATAGTGTGGGAGTGATAGTGATAGGACACATTTGGATATAACTGGTTTATACCTCTTGAAGCTCAGATCCTTGATTTTTTCATGAATTTGCCCAAGCATGTGGGACGCGAGCTTCTTCAGATGCAACGGGCTGCCAGTGGCTATCAGCTGCAATGAATGAAATCAACAGTTTAGAAAGTTGAAACCAAGGGCCAGAGATGTTGGCACATATCATATTTGGGAAGCCATAAATTTCTTGGTCTAAATGGGTTTTTGGCTGCCTGGGTTGTCTGAAAATCGGGGAGCCCATTCCATCCACTAGTTAGATCCCATGTTTTAAATTGGCCATTGGTAGCCGAAAGAATTGTGTTCGGTGGGGTCTTGGTCTCAGATTTTGATATGAAAATATATATTGTATAAGGCGTATATATATATATATATATGTACACATATTATACAGATGTCACGCAACCTCACCACAAGGTAGAACACATTCCTCGGACTTTTTTTGTGTGGCAGAAGTTGTCTACACCATTTGGGACAAACCTTTCTCTAAGTCTTTTAGGGGCCTCATGTGTATATATGAGCAGGGATCACCACCCCCCAGCCAGATGCTTCCCGCCTCCATGCCTGTGGCCTGGGGGTGTAAGAAGTAGGTAGTGATGAGGCAATGTATATACCACACATAGTTGTACATAAATCGTTAGTTGGTGATTTGTAATATATATATAAATATTATATTCATATGTATTTGTAGGGATGTAAATATATATTTATATATATATTTATACACTGAGTGGTAAACAACATGAGTGAGGTACGCTATGATGCTATGGCATTCTGGAATTCACCTCCGGCTAGGTTGAAAAAGGTTGATTTATTGCGTCTTTTCCATCTTTGGATTTAAACAATGCGGTGCCCCTGAAATTTGTATTATAACTACCAGAAGCACCTAGAAACCCAACAGTTAAGCTAGTTATGTTTAAAACTTGGCTGACAAACTGGGGCCCCACATTCTGCAATATAACCTTCCAACATCTTCCAAGAGTTCTTTGGTTGAAGGGTATCCTCTTGCCGTCTAGAAATAGCCCGTCCTATAGAAAATCGCGTCAGTTTTCTCAAGTTCGCAAGGAGATCATCCCGGGAACCACCAGCCATGGTGAACTGCTGAACCCAAAAAAAAATCTGGGCACATCCGGCCTTCCCCTGCACTTGCGGGCCTTTGCCTGCTGCAAAAAAAAGGAGAAATCAATACAAAGCAAACAGCGTGGCTGCTTTACTCGCATACTCGCACAGATCCGAGTAGCTCGGGATGGTCAGTCGAAACGCCGCTCGCGCATGCTTGCTGAAAAAGAATGGCATCCCGAAGAAGATGAGATGTTGATGAGATTAATGATTTTGGGGTACTCTGTTTTCAGACAGGCTCGCAGCATGTGTTTAACTTTGTCGAGCTGCTCTCCGTTGTGCAAATCCATCGGTGGCTGGCACAATATGCAGGTAGCGAATTGATGAGGAAACGCTGGGGAAGGACTTGAGTATTTTGCGCATTTTCATCAGATTGGTGAATAATCTTTTCTGATTTAACTGGCCCATCAGTTTGGGACTGGAAGTCCGTTGCTGAATTGTCATTTGAATTTCGATAAGCAAGATCCCCCGCAGAAGCAAATGCTGTCGAAATTCTGATTAATCAAATAATTGATAAAAGTTCCTGACATTTTGATAGAATATAATCATGTATAATATATAGCAAAATCGAGCCAGCACTCTCTTTTTTCAGCAGCTCACATAAGTTTCCAGCCACCTTCCATAAGTATTTGGTGCCGGGACGATCGACCCAAACAGAATCATACCACTGTCAGTCGGGCCCCCAGCTCGAGAATTTCCATCGACAATTTGTTTGCAAACATATGTATCAAATATACACTATATTTATATATATATATATATTTATTTATCATAGATATTTCTCAGATAGTATGTACTTTATATATGTATATTTTTCATTATCAGGGGAATTGTAGTTAGCAAGCTTCCGAGTTAAAGACGAGTGCTCATGTTCATGTCAGCCACGTCAACATGTCAACCACATCATTAAGTAGTCGGGAAGTGAAACAGTATATGACAACAGTCCAAGAGCGTGGGTACGGTATGGTGGCTTGAGCGGCGTCGCGAAGGTAGGGTCTGTGCTTCCGCGGGGCCGGACCTCGATCTGGAAGAGCCTCAACGAAGAAGTAGCTCACTCATCCATTTATTCCTTCATTCCTTTGTTCTTTCATTGAACCACTCATGCATTGATTCTTTGATTGCCTGGACGACTGGTTGATTGCATGATTGATTGACTGATTGATTGGTTGATCGCTTGATTGATTGATTGATTGATTGATTGATTGATTGATTGACTGATTGATTGGTTGATTGACTGATTGATTGATTGATTGATTGGTTCATTGGTTCACTGATTCATGGATTCGTTCGTTCCTTCCTTCCTCCATTGTTTCTTCTAGTGTATAAGTGATTGAGTGATTGGGAAAGTGCTTGACCCATTGACTCAGGGTTTCATTGGTTCATTTTTTGATTCATTGATTGATTGCTTGATTGGCTTACTGACTGATTGATTGATAGATTGATTGGTTGATCGTGAGATTGATTGGTTGTGCTTGATGTTTGATTGCTTTTGGTTCAGTGGCTGACTCATTGACTCAGTGATTCGTTGATTCACTGACTCATTGCTTCATTGGTTGCTTCATTGACTCGTTGATTAATTGGTTGATTCTCTGACGCCTTTGGGTCATTGACCCTTTGATCCATTCAATGGTTGATTTGTTGGTCCATTGCTTGACTCAATGTTTTTTTCAGTCATTGATTCCTTCCTTCCTTTCTTCCTTCCTTTCATTCATTCATTTGCTCATTCATTCATTCATTCTTTCCTTCATTCATTCATTCATTCTTTCTTTCTTTCATTCTTTCATTCTTTCATTCTTTCTTTCTTTCTATAGAAAGGAGGGTTGGCAACCAAAGCTGGCACGAACGCAAAGCTGGCACAGGTGGTGCCACAGCCAAGGTCGCACACCTACGGTGATCCCGGGCGCCGGCCCGCCTAGGCCAAGGCTAGGCAGGGGTCGGCAGAGATATATATATATATATATTAATATATATATATGTATGTATATATGTCTATTTGGATATCTTGAATGTAAATAAAAATTGTGTGTGTGTGTATATATATATATATTGTAGGCGATAAAGAAGGGTTCCCAAAAATAACATGCCGCAAATTCATCACAGCTGTTCGCCGGGGCAGCAACCATGATGTAACTAAGTTGGTTTAGTTTAATTTATTCGGGTTTTTGGTAGTTAAAACGTGTTCTAAATAGACTTTCTGGGGTTGATAAAAACAATTTTGCAATCTATGGCGTTTCACATTGCATGATGTTTATGGCCCAGTTGAAACAACCCGATGTTGCAACAAGTTTGCGACTACAGTGGGACAGAATGTTTTTTGGATCCCAAGGTAAACCACCCAATGAACACTCTTCAAAACCATTATTCTTTGATCATATCGGATTTTACTATTCAATATATTGAAGGGGGCCATCGAAATAGCTGATGGGAATCCAGGAATCCCTGGTAACCGGGCAATATAGACGGACGACTCAGGGTTTTGAACATTGTTCAAATGGCAGTTTCAAAGCGGAACAGCGGAACATGATGATAGACCCTTGCGTTCGCGGTAGCCTTTGTTCAGTTCAGACAAACCCTTAAACGCATCCAAATCCATAAACATCCATAACTGGTTTTGACTTATCCGGGATCCTCCATTTGATAGATTACCCCCAAATTGTGTGTATACCCCTCTTGGTAGGATCATTCACCGGTGCAACTACTCGTAGTTGCTTTGGGGGGCAATCTGGATTATTGTAGACTCCACATGGTAAGTGGAATTGACAATGCACAAATTTTCGAACATTTTGATGTTTTCACAATCAAATTCTAACGGGGCAGAGAAACAGCAGGGGCTGTGCACCCCAATATCCCATTGTATATTTTCCACGTTGAAATTGGGCAATGCGAAACCCTTTTATCTGGGAATCTTGGATCCTTTTCCTTCTCAAATATCAAGGATAGTTTGTTTCATCACTCAGATGGGTAGTAACCAAGATATGTGTTGATTATTTATTGGAGGAGGTCACGGTGTGTTATATTTTTTTGGGAGACTATTATGACCTAAGAAACGCATATCAACATTTATGAATAAGGGATGTTGCATTGATCAAAAACATGCAACAATTACAATATTTGCCCTGCAAACACTGTTTTTTCTGAGAACTTCAGGGGTAAGGATTTACGAAAATCATGCCCATCTTTTTGTATCATCTTGACGGTTGTTGTGTAGTTTTAAGTTCTCCCTTCGCAAGATTGGCTGACGATCACGAGTCTATGCCAATCCACCTCGGAATTGGGGTGGCTCCAGCTCATGAAATGTGGTTTGAAGGTTTCAGCAGTGGCAATTCTGCAGAATGTCTCAGATTGACTGATGTAGAATGCGGGTAGTTGGAAAAATATAGCTTGTAAACGAATATAATTATATATACTTCCTACCGGACCAATGTGATTTGTGCTTTAGAGTTAGCAAAGAAGATTAACCATGGGCGCAAAAAAAAGAATGGATGAGCCAT